CGTGGGGGGGAAAAAGGCCGGGGGGGGGGGGGGGGGGGGCGCCGCCGCCGCCGCCATCGATTTTTCCCTCCCGCTCCTAGCCCTGAGGGAACCGGTTGAGCGTCCTCTTCCCGCCCTCCCCGGGTTCCCCTCAGGGTTCCCGGGGGTGTCAGGGAGCCGAGCGCAGGGGTTGGCGCCGCCTTCTCACCTCAGTCTCTCCCTTTCCTTGCAGGCTCCAGCTGAAGGCGAGGCAAAGGAGGAGGTAGGAGCTGCTTCTCAGGCGCCGGTCCCCCAAAAAACTGTGGTGCTTCACATAAAAGCCCCCACGCACACCTCGGGAGTGGGGGCGGGCTCAGGCCCTGGTGCCCAGGCCCATCCCGTGGGCGCCGGGTGTCTGCCGGCCGAGGCCATCGGTTCCACCGTTCCCTGTAACCTTACAAACAACAGCTCGGCGGCAGAGCCTTAATGGCCCAACTGAAAGTAAAGAAACTTACAGAATCACAGAATCGTCTAGGTTGGAAAAGCCCTTTAAGATCATCAAGTCCAACCGTTCCCCTACCCCTGCCATCCCACCACTAAACCCTGTCCCTCAGCACCTCACCTCTCCTTCTTTTAAATCCCCCCAGGGATGGGGACTCAACCACCTCCCTGGGCAGCCCCTTCCAGAGCCTGACAACCCTTCCCGTGAAGAAGTTTTTCCTAATGTCTAGCCTAAACTTGATAAAGTGATAAACTTGATAACTTACCACCTCAGCGGGGTAAAAGGGCGGCAGCGTAGAACTACATAATTGCATGCTGCCCGTAGTTTCATAGATCCTAGAATTCGTATGGGGCTTCGTGACGTAGCGTGTGCCGTGTTATTCCGGGTTGCGGTTCTGAGAAAGCACTGCTTTATATGCTCTCTGAATTTTAGTGACACATCTTTCTTTACGCAGCCAAAGAGAAGGTCAGCTAGACTATCCGCTGTAAGTACCTTTATCTACTCTTTTAATATTACATAGAATCATAGAATGTTTTGGGTTGGAAGGGACCCCCAGAGGTCACCCAGCCCAACCCCCCTGCAGGAGCAGGGACACCTTGAACCACATCAGGTTGCTCACAGCCCCGTCCAACCTGGCCTGGAATGTTCCCAGGGATGGGGCCTCCACCCCCTCTCTGGGCAACCCCTGCCAGGGTTTCACCACCCTCATTGGAAAGAATTTCTTCCTTAGATCCAGTCTAATCACGTGGGATGCTGAGTTCTGGGGGACAGTTATAGAAGAACCATTTGTGTTTTTTCCACCGGTGTTGTGAAAGGCATGGTTAGAGTATTGCAATGTTCAAAAGTAAAATTCCTATTCTACATTTCCAATCCTTGAGCATCAACACATGACAGGCTTACTTTTAGACGTTTCACGCAAAATACAACATCCATGTTAGTTAACATTCATTGTGGACGTGCGAGTGTCCAGAGTCAAGGAATATGGATTTCAAGACGCATTCCTTCTCTGTAGCTATTCTCCATACAAATACCTGCTCATAGCTCTATGAATTACCTGCTCTCTCCTTATACTTGTGATTTGCCCATTGATTTTGCAGCCCCAACTGTTGGGTAAGCTGAGACCTAGACGAAGCAAATCTGTGTCACGTGGTAGGGTTCAGCCCAAAGTCACAGCCTTAAGCGGGCTTTTGGCATCCTCCTCGACAGACACCTTGTACACCCAGCCCTTTTTTAAGCCATCTTGGAAATGCCAAGTGGATAACGGTTGCTATTTAAAAAGGAAAGTACTTCATTTTAGTGAAAGCCAAGATGTGTATTCATACGTGGAGTTACATCCAAATGTTAATACCTTTCATTTTTGACAGCCACTTGCCTTCACAGCAGACAGTAACACCCAGACACAGTAGTGATCCACTTACTACTACCATCAGCATCTGTACCTTAACCACTGTAACATCCACGAGGAAACGTGGGCTTGGGTAACGAAAGATACTGATCCATCCCTGACATGTACTCCTTTATGTACTGCGGAACAAAGCAGACAGCTCTAAGCTTTTTTTTTTTGTTTGAATAGTTTTCAAAAGTTTACCAACCTGTTGCTAAAACATTCATAGCGTTCTTCTGACTCTGATTCCTATGTATGTTTTGTACAGAAACCTGCTCCGCCTAAACCGGAGCCAAAGCCCAAAAAGGCAGCACCTAAGGTAAGTGTTCGAGATGTCTTGAACTGAAGTTATACTTTTCTTTCTCGAGGTGTTTATGGGGGGGAGGAGGGGGAAGCATCCACAACCAATCATTTTGTTTTTTCACAATTTTCTTATTTCAAATATAATTATGTGAGTTAAAAGAGCATGATGGATGTAAAGATAATTTTCTCCCAATTGCTAGCGAAGGAATGCAGTAAGCTGAACAGATTTTAAATCAGTTGAGGCTTTACTGCTTGCCTTGCAAGGCCGTTCTGAAGTTTCATACAATGCATTGTTGGGAAAACGATGCCTTGAATAGAGATCAGAGACTCAATTAGAGAAGGCATTGAAAATCATGCTTTTAATTACACTGTCTTACTCTGTTTTTATTCAAAGGCACTCTTTTCAGTTAGTTATCAGTTTATCACATTTTAATCAGTGGAGATAAAGTTCTACATACCCGTTTCCTTAAGCTGGATATTTTTGGAAACGTCAAAAACATTGGCATATCTGACAGTGTAGTTAAAAAAGCAACTATTTAAAGCTCCTTTGTGCTTTGGAGCAACAGTTTGCAATAAATTTAAAAGGGGACAGCTCTGCAATCCATGAGGTATTTCTTTCTACTCCCTTCCTGTCACAAACTTCTCCAGCAGTCACAGTCTGCAGTGCTTTTTTTTTTTCTTTTTTTCCAGATGGGTAAATATTCAGATTGTGTTAGGATTTTGCAGCTGGGGGAAAAAAAAAACCAACCAGCAAGAACAAAACTTTACCGTTCTTTTTAACCTGTTCCCATCGTACATTTTCCGTTGTGGTTTTGGATGGTCATATGGGCAGAGCACGGGTGCGAGCGATGCGTTAGTTACAGGTGGGGATGGCGGGCTGGGAACCGAGAACGCTTTTTCTGTGCATTTAAAAGGCCTCGTAATTGTGTATGGCACAGCAGACTTGCAGATCATGAAAACTGTTCTGCCTCTTGCTGTGTGGAGCAGCAGAGATGTCACGAGAAATGGACAAGAAGGGGAACCCGGCTTGTCATTTTGGGGACCCCGCGTCTCAGCTCTGTAATCTCAGTGGTGTGCAGAGCAAAAATTTTCACATCTGAGTCTTGGTTGTGCAGCTGGATTTCTAGATCCCATTCCGGAGCGGCAGGGGAACCTAGGAACCCTGCTGCTCCGCATTCCTGTGGTGCCAGCGGCTGGCACACTCCGGATTGCATCTCCCTCAAAGTGGCTGTTGCCCCGGGAAGAGGAGAGCCTACCGCTGGTGGTTGCTCTTTCAGCCCAAGCCTGGCTTGGGCATCTAAAAGCCCTGGGTTCAGCCTCTGCTGATGACCCGTGCTGAGGTCAGTGCGGTTGGATGCGATGCACGTTGTTGCTACTTCCTTTTTTTTCCAAGTTTGCTTTTTTATTTTTATGGAAACATCTCGGGGTTTATACACAAACGCTGCATTAACCGAATCTTGAAAGCTGTGAAAATAAGCATTTGGAAGTTAAGGATTGCAGGTGACTGCCAAAACTGAGCTTGGTCCCTTACTGCCTGAGCTGTAACGTGCGGTCTCCCTCTGGGATCACGTACGATTTAGTTCTGCTGGGAGTGGTGCCTTGGTCATTGCCCCGCACGTTGCCGCCCGCTTGGACTTGGAAAGCGTCGGTCCTCTTGCCTCTGAGGTGCTGGTTTGAAGCCAGGATACCTGAGCTGCAGTTTTGGCTCTTAGAGCTCCTAATACCAGACCGATATCTGTGCAAAGGGGGATGTAATAAGAATTGTGCAGGCATCTTTAATTCTTGTTTCCCCCAAATGCGTAACTTTACAACCTACCGGTTCTCCGAATGTTTTTTTTTTTGTGTGTCAGAATAGATTTTACCTTTTAACCTTAGCCATACTGAAAAACGTAGAGCTGGGAAAAAAGTTTGATCACTTTATAAAACATGTGACCTTATTACTGAATTGCTGTTGCTATCTGCATAGAAAAATTACTCAGGAAAATGAATACAATGGTATTAGCTCAGAACTATCTGGGAGGGGGGAAGAAGCTTGGAAATTGAAAAGTAACATTGTCTCCTGGAGTATTTTTTTTCCTGGACTCTCTGCGTTGTGGAAGGGGGCTTGATCCCTTACAGCATAGCACTCAGCTTGTCCCTAGAAGCCACAGATCTTGCGGAACAGAGCAGAGATCCCAGGATCCTCGCTCCCAGCCGTGTGCTATGAGACGCTTCCGCTCCAGTCAGTCCAGCCGTGGATGCCAGTTTCTGTGGATCCTCCTCAAATGCTTTCTTAAGAGGGGCTTCAGCAGCAAAGAGTGGGCTACAGAGCATGACAGGTTTAGCTCTGTTAATACTTTGTCCTCTTTTTTTAATGGGGTAAGGGGAAAGATACTCTTCTTCAAACAATGCCAAGTCTTTCAAAATCCTTTGGGGCTTACATTGGAAGAGCTTGGAGCCTACTGGTGCTGCTGGGGGGAGGAACCCTTCACAGTGTGCTTCAAAGGTCTCATGGATGCTGTTAAGTGACAGCAAACTGGTACCATAGTAGTAGTGCAGTTCTAAATCTTGCTGCCAAACAGTACCAGAATATTTGGGTGCTGGTTTTACTGTGATAATTAACTTTTTTCCTGCCTCTCTTGGAAGTTGGAGGACTGTTCGGCTGGCAGAGGGGAAAAAGAACGAGTGGGGGCATGCTCTTCTCTTTCCTCCCATGGTGACTCTCTTCCTTCTCTGGGGAAGAGCTGCTGCATGTCACGGATAAGCCAGTCCCCAGAGAGGAAGAGAGGCTTGTTGGGAGTGGGCACAGCCCAGGAGAAGGGGACTCCTGACACCGTGTTGTAGCAGAGCTTCCCAGGTGGGCTGAAACCCCGCAGCAAGGTCGGGCTGGGGAGAGGGAGGTTAGCAAGGACAGAGACCCTCACCTGCCTGAGTGCTGCTAACCTCCTGTCTTCAATTTTCTGTACTATTATAGGAGTTGGTGTAAGTTTTGGTGAATTTTTAATCATCAGTATCATTGAAGAATCAGGTGGCTTTGCCCCTGATGCTCTGTATCTGAGTTTACCCTTAGCAAGCAGCTCATTTTTCATGCAAATGAATTTTGTACACTATTAAACGAGGTGTTGAAATAAGAAAGTATACTTTTTGTAACTTCTAGTCGCTGAGACAACTCCGTCTTCTGGGTAGAGATACATGTTCAGTAATTACCTGTTAATCTTCACTTACCTGCGAGGAGTAATTTTGCAGATATTTATGGTTCCTTTGTGGGAACTGGGTTAATCAAGCGAGGAACTAAGCTAGTTTGCTTAGTGCAGTTACTTATTGGCAGCAAGAGGCGGATCCTCAGAGGTGAAATGAATGAGAGTCGTGCTAGTTACTGGGTTGGGGCACGGACCTCACCTTTCCCTATCACAAACTTACTAGTACAGAAGTTGTAGCTTCGAGTTTTGTTTGGATTCAGCCCGATCCACGTGTAAGAAACTGCGCTTACATAACAAATGCAAAGTTCTCGTCGTTATTGAAGTGATGCTGTGGAGCCCCCAACTTGTCTACCACACGAATGCTTTAGTACAATAAGGAATATTTCTGGCAGGGAAGGGGGAAAGTCCTTCGACTACAGCTTTGTTACAGTTTTCTAAATAGGCATTAATAGCACATCTGAAGTATTCTGGTATTTCCACTAGTTGTACATGTTCTTTTTGTTCTGTGGTATGCCTTTCAGCAGCACAGCAGAAGCACAGGCCAGTTCAACTCCAACATTTTTGAGCTAATTTAATTGAATGCCTGTTTAAAATGGGAATTCTTTTAACCCCAGTCACGGCTGCTGTTATATTACGCGCTTCCCAGTAGCACATTCAGGGCAGGGTAGAAGGAAAGCACTTCTCTGTAGAAACTTCATCTCCTCTTTGTCAGGAGGAAGCTCAGTGTGTAGAAGCAGGTTGCGCAGGCAGTTTTGGAGTTGAGAATGTGCTTATGCAGATGTACGAGGTGGAAGTTAGCATTTACCATATCACGGTCTGTTTTCTCAACAGAAGGAAAAGGCAGCAAATGATAAAAAGGAGGACAAAAAGGCAGCAACAAAAGGGAAGAAAGGAGCCAAAGGCAAAGATGAAACTAAACAAGAGGATGCTAAAGAAGAAAACCACTCTGAAAACGGAGATACCAAAACTAATGAGGTACTTTAGCTACAGTAAACATGGGAATAAACTCAGATGTAGTGGTAATACACCTGCAGGAGCTAACGGTTGGGCCGCCTTGTCAGAAGGGGGTGTGTGTGTTTCACTGCCGCCCGGTAAAGGCAGACCAGCTGCAGTGTCTGCACAGGGCAACTCCCAGGGAAAGCCCGAAAGAGGGATAGCCTTCTCCTTCCAACTCATTCCTGCCGTGTGGTAGAGCCCTTTCACAGGCGGTCTGTGCTGTCCTAGTGTCCCTCTCAGGCCTGGCACAAGAGCAACGCAGAACATTTGGGGAGCAGTAGAGCTCAGTCGGATTGCTACCCAACCCTGAGCTGACTTTGCAGATCCTCTCTGGGCCGCTGGATTGCCTCTTCTGCTCAGCACGGCTTGGGACCGTGCCAGAAATCTGGTTTTAAGTTTTACACAATTCTTTAAAACAATTCTTCGCCTCAGAACAGTTCAACAAGAGATCTGCAAAGTAAACTCGGCCTTGTCTCTTGATCTGCAAGCCTCTTTCTTGTAGGTTCTTACTGTATCAGGTACTTACCTAAGAGCTGCCATTTGCTAGGACTAGCTGCAAGCTTCCGTCAGCTCCCGATGGCCCTTTCCTGGCAGATTTCTTGCTGGTAGGAGAAGCGCAACGTTTGCTGCGGGCTCCAGTTGCCCCTGTAGGCACAGACTGCCCCCTTGTGTTCTCTGTTGCTTTCGATTTTTGGTGGTCTCTTCACGTGTTGAGTATCATTATCCCGTTAATGGGTTGTTTGTTCTTTCGTTTTTAAAACTTAATTCAGGAGCTTCTTTGCTAAAAATTAATGCGGGGCTGATGTACTTCAAAGGATCTTTGATAGGAGCTTTGCAATTTTGATGTGTTGACTTAAAAAGTGATAGCAGACGTTTTTATAGAAAACAGGTGAGAACCAATTTCCCCAAAGTTTGGACAACAGACAAGTATCGCAGATTTAAGTGCAATTCTTACACTTCCCTGTGACCTGGGGAGATGAGGACTTGAACTTTCCCTAGCGTGTGATTGACCCTAATCTAAAACACTTTCTAAACTTCTGCCTCCTTGAAGGCACTTAGCATTCCAAAACTCACTCGATCGTCAGTCGATACTCATCTGTGTTTTAATTTTTAGAACGATCAGCCGACGTGGTGTTGTGTTGGTATTTTCTGTAGTAGCTGCGCGTTCTTGTCTGTCTACGCAAAACGTTGTCCGTGCCTGCGCTAACAAACTAGTCTCTCTTTGATGCTTGTTAGAACGGAATCCGATTAGCATTACGAATAATATTTCTATTCTTCCCAAACACTTTTGTAGGCACCAGCTGCTGAAGCATCTGATGATAAGGAAGCCAAGTCCGAGTAATGTTAACCCTGCCCTATATCTCCATCATTTGGTATCCGTACCTCCATGCTGTATTGTTAACAGAGAGGAATATTTTTATCAACTATTTTATAAATGCAGGTTTTTTTAGCATGAATTTAATTATGGAACATCTTCATCTCGGTTACTTGGGAATTAAATCCCTAACAAACAAAACAAAACAAAACAAAAAAAATCATTGTTTTTAAATTTTGTGATTGTAATAGTTTGTATGGTACATGGAAAGAATAAGTGGTGGTAGCTTTTGACTTCTGTCAGTGTGTCCCTTTTTGTGTAAGTCATGCTTACAGACTTCAGATTTTAATTTTTCCCTTGTATGTGTTGTATGGTTTCTTAAAGTGGGGAGGTCTCAAAACAAATAACCGTGTTAAACATTCCAGTGGTTCTGTGGGTTGCTTTTATAAAGAAGGTGAGCTATTTTCATGAAAAACCTAAGAGCTGGAAATCTGTTGTTTCCCAAATGTAATTTTATTTTGTCAGTTTTGAAAAAAATAAATAAATAAAAAAAGTGTAATCATGTTTTTAAATGAAATACAAACATTTCTTTTAAAAGGGCAGGTCGGTTGTATGTACCCACTGTTAGGAATTTTGCTGGATTTATCTTAATAAAAAAGACTCCTCAAAAGCTGATTGTGGTTTGTTGCTTGTGCTGCAAACGCTACCGAATTCCGGAAGAGTTGCAGTAGCGCAGAGCTCCAGGCTGAGAGCACCTATGCAGCTACAAAGCTGCGGGCCATGGCTGGGTTAGGGCTTGGGCCCCCGTCTTCTTCAGTTGCGTAAAGAAAAATGATTTTATGGGCAGCCGGGATGGGGACAGATGATTTCAGTGCTGGCTTAACACCAGCTGGGAGCTTCAGCCAGCGCTGCCAGGTGAGGGCTGACCTTGTGGACTCTTGTTACTCGCTCCGGCGAAGGCGGGGTGCTTGGCGTTGGCCAGTACGCCTTAAGCATCATAGATGTTGTTACAAATTCCAGAGAGAATCGTCTTGTTCAGCCTGGAGAAGAGAAGGCTGCGGGCAGACCTGATTGCGGCCTTTCAGTACCTAAAGGGGGCCTATAGGAAAGAGGGGGAAAATCTTTTTAGTAGGGCCAGCTGTGACAGGACAAGGGGTAATGGTTTTAAACTAAACCAGGGTAGGTTTAGACTGGATCTAAGGAAGAAATTCTTTCCAGTGAGGGTGGTGAAACCCTGGCAGGGGTTGCCCCGAGAGGGGGTGGAGGCCCCATCCCTGGGAACATTCCAGGCCAGGTTGGACGGGGCTGTGAGCAACCTGATGTGGTTCAAGGTGTCCCTGCTCCCTGCAGGGGGTTGGGCTGGGTGACCTCTGGGGGTCCCTTCCAACCCAAAACATTCTGTGATTCTATGGTTTTTCTTTCACGTGCCTGTCGATCGATTATGATTTAGAGGGGGGTTCTTTCCTCTTCCAAATATCGCGGAAGCTGTTACGCGATACCACGTTTACATCAAAGCCTCAGTAGTGGAAAATAAGTTTGCTGCTGATGCAGGGATGTTCCTAGTCCTGGTTCAAGTGCACACTGCCATAACTTGTTTAGAGTTTTCTTCTTTAAATGTGTTTTACTCACAAAATGTTTTCTTGGACTCGCTCGGCTTCCCCTAGCGTGACAAGGTGCGTGTGTACAGAAGTGCTTTCCGTTCCCACAGGCTTCGTTGTGCTGGGAAATGACAGCTCGGCTAGACAGCAGTTAGCCGGGGGTTTAGTACTGGTTTTACCTAGCCTCCCTTTTGTTGCTACAGCTATTCTATGCGACTTTTCCAACGACTTCAAATTTTCCCCTGAAAGCCTCCTGTTATATAAAGTCTCGTCACACTGATGACCAAATACGTTATATATTTAATAAGAAGAAAAATGTCTGCAATGCAGAAACCTTATCTTTTGCATTAAACTGTTTCGCAGCCCAGAAATGTCAAATTCCAAGAGCTCGCATATTTTATCTCTTATCCAAAACCTACCTCGGCATCTCAATGCCATCTTGTACTGAATGTGTGTTTCGGGATCAGTACCCCAGGGCACCGGCTACCAGGTGACGTTTAATGTGGGTTTCATTTTCAAAGACCTAAAGCACGGGGGAAAAAAACCCCCCTTCCGTTCCCTAGAACTGCTCCGTAGAAGCATCGGGGTTAGCTGAGCGCGATCTTCCTCGGCTCTAAAGGTGGGAGGGCGTTTAAGGGCCTTGCCCTCCGCAGCACGGTCCCTTCAGCCAGCGCAGCCCCCGTTACAGTGACTTTCGGGCGCGCTCTGGAGTCTGCCCTGCAGCAAAAACTGATGGAGAGAAGAAGTAGCTGGAATCCCTCGCCCGGTGGAAGTGTGGCGAGGTGTGGGTAAAAGCAGGGAGATTCCGAATGTCCCAGTTTGAAGAGGATCCGACAACAGTTCGGATGTCATCCTGACACTTTCCCACCTCAAACTTGTTTACTGAATTGAGCCTGCTTTTGACTAACGGAAGATGGCTAACGAGCGCAGCAGCGTGCTTTGGACACGCGCAATCATTGTTAGGGTCTGACTGAACGCTGCTTGAAGTCGATGAGAAATACCGAGGGGCCTGTACTGCTTCAGGGAGAAAATGCATATCGGAACGGAATGTTTTATACTTGCATATATCCCCCAAAAAACCCCGGTGGTTTCCCTTAAAATAGCAAATCCAGTTCTGCAAGGAAGGTGAGCTCCGGATCTTGGTGCCATTGAACCATTTCTCTTTGGCTGCAGCCGCTCGTCACTGAGCGTTTGGAGCACTCTGACTTCAATAACAGCAGACACTGTCAGTATGGTTGATGTTTTCTTCTTAGCAAAGGGCTCATCCAGATGCCAAGGTATAATCAGCCCGTCATATGCTAATTGAGGTCGTTCCGTATGCCGGGTCCTGTTTCTCCGTTTTATTGCAGAGGTTGTTCCACAGAAACATACAACTGAGTGTTTGGTTTTGTTTATTCCTTCCCCTTCTAGTGCCAGGGCGAGAATTGGTCTTAATTCTATAACTATTGTTATAATCAGATTCCTGTTTCAAATAAGTACAGAAAATTGCCTAAGAACTTTGCAGACAAACCTCCTTGCTCAAATTCATGGCTTTTCTGAGCAACGGGGTATTGAGCAAGCTGGAGAACCAAATAGATCGCCTGCCTTCTGCCAAATCCTCCTCATCTGCTGGTCCTGAAGCCTGGCCACCGAGTCAAGGGCGAGCTCCACGTCAGCTCACGAGCTTTGCTCAGTTCACGGTTGTCCGAACAGCAGAAGTTTTGAAAGGCGAAAAATTTTTCCCTGACCGGTCAGGTGGGTGTCGCTGCGCTCAGGTTTAGTTGGGATATGCGGAGGAAGCCCCTTCACCGCGGTCCTCGGCCGGTTCCGCAGCGCTCGGAGTGCGAGCAGTTCGTGTTCGCCTATTCCGGTGCGGGCTAGCAGGGATTCATAGGGCTGCCAGGCAGGGAAAATCGGCTGCAGGGGTCTGGTTATCGTTATCCATCATAACACGGACCTTTGAGGA